GGAGGAGGAGGAGGAGGCAGCAGCAGACCAGCAGGAGCAACAGCCGTCTTCGTCATCATCATTCTCTCTCGAACAACTACACCGAGAAACAAAGAGAGCCCTTGCTGGAACGACGGCAGCAACAACGACCAGTTGCTATCAGATGCTGCCACCAGGCCAACCCTTTCCGTTGCATCATGGCAAGCAAACACAATCCACGAAACACCTTGCCCCCATGACGCCCAACATGTGTCGCTCTGTTTAACAGTATAACATATCGGCTCCACCAGCTGCAGGCAAGACATGGCAAGACTTGTGAGAAATGCGTACGCCTTGTCGGCTTTCTGTGAATTCTTGTCTGGCTTACACCCCCATGTCCTAGACAATCCCTAGACAATCCGTAGATAGCCGCGCAAGCATGATTTCGGACCTGTGCTCGCGCTGCCGGTCCAGGTACTGCAACTGGTGATACGGCGAGCAGGGTTTCGCATCGCCTGCCTCTGCTGAGGCTTGAAAAATTTGCCTAACACAACCTTTAATCTCTATGCCCCTGTGAAACTGTAGCGCGGAATGTCAAACTACTTGCCCAACAACCGGCGGGCGACCACCATTGATGGCTAGTCTAGTCACGACGGACTGCACCGCCGTCTGCAAAGCGTCTAGTCTAGTTGCTACTGCACCACTCGCCACTGCATGCCTTGGTGCATGTGCGTGTTGCAGTTTGCATCTCTTTCAGTTCATGCTTGCTTGCAGTAAACATGGATGGCTACACACATCCGCACCGCAAAAAAAAAGTCGTCCTTCTTCGTCTCCTTCCTGCTCTAAGTGGGCCATAGGGGACATGTTAAGCCCCCCGGGCTGAAGGGCTCACCCCTGTTGAAGGGCCTGGCGGGAGGATGTGAAACAACAACCGTAATCCCAGAGGACAAGCGCCGTAAGCTAAAGCCAAGCATTGGGGACAAACAAGGAGGCTGTGCGGTAAGCTCTTTCACAAGGCTAGAGGAAGGGGCAACCACCCCCTCCCTGCGCCCCAGGCACCGCCCCCATATGTTATGGGGTTGTGTCTCTGCAGTCAGCTCTCTCTCTGTCTCTCTAGTTTGCCTCCACCTCGTCCCCTTTTCTTAACCTGTGCCAGTACTCTTCCTGTGCCTCGCTTGCGGAATCTTGGCTTCCAGTTGGCCTCCAGTGGTTCCTGTACAACGCTGACTTGTACATTTACATACATACACACATACATACA